GAAGATGCCTTTAGACTGAAGGCGAAATATCGACCAAAATAAAAATAAAAAGTAAATAAAACATAAAAACATTTAATGTTTTATTTAACATACGGCCTATAGCTCAAAAATAATTATTAAATTATACTCAACGGCCAATAAGCAACACAATCAAATTTAAAACCGATAATAAAATGCTTTACTTTGGACACAATCATAAATTTTAATGCAACCTTTAAATATAAAGTGAGCTTTAAAGTTACAGGTTACTTCAGAAAACGGCCCTAAAACATAACAGGTTGGCATTAAGCGTGATCGCTAGATAACATTATTCATAAAGTTCGTTGAAAATGCTAAATACATAAAATAATTTGTGTCTAAAATGCGGCCATGAATTATTATGTGGGTATGTAAAAGATTTTCAGATCTTTAGGCAGTGCGGTTAACGAATTTTTAAATATTTACTCAAAAATGTTATTTTCCATGGATCTTAAGCGAAAATTAGTTTTTCGTAAAATTTTTTTGGGAACTTCACCAATCTTTACCAAATTTGCTATACACATTGCGCCTGACCTTCTTAAATACCGTCTTCAAAATTTTTGAAATCGTACCAAAACCACGCCCTCTAGAAGTATCGCTAACTTTGAGATTTCAAAAATTATCGTATTTTACTTATAACACTTTAAGCGTTTGAGAAAAATTTATCAAACAAAAATTTAATGTTTTCTCAATGGATTTCAAACAATTTGATGTATAATTTACTTTTGTGCGTTCAATTTAAAAATTTACGTTTGCTTAGCATTGAATCACACGGTTCCGGAGATTTTTCCATGTGTATTTATTTACAAATATTGTTATGTCCATATATTTAAATATATAAGTACTTGAACGTTTTATTAACCATTTTGAATTGTTTCCCACATTTAGTATTCAACGCCTCTTCCGCACTGCCGACTATATGTACTCCTTCCCACCCCATCGTTCCACAGTCTATATAATGGGCATTTTGCTTGGTTACTGCTTACGCAAATACCCTGGCATAAAGTTGTCAAGAACTCAACTTCGCTTCGGTTGGGTGGTGGCCACAGCCTGTGTGCTTACTTCGCTTTTGGGACCCGCGCCAATGGGTGACATCAACTATCAGTACAACTCAACACACGCGGCCATATATGCAGCATTTGCACCAATTGCTTGGTGCATGTTCTTCTCATGGATTGTTTTTGTTTCACACAATGGCTACAAAAGTGAGTTTTCAAAAAATCGTCTTTATACCACTTAATAACACTTGAAATAAATATTATTACGCCACAATAATAATAAAATTTCCAAAATTTCGAGTAAATTGTAATTGGTGTAATTATTTGTGCGATTATGAATAATAAATATGTATGCACATTCTCATTTGCTCATTTCCTCTATATAAAAATTTTTTTGAACATATATACATATGGAAAAAAATTAGCAACACCTTCAACAAAAAAAAATTGCCAAAGTCAAAGGTAAGCCCTGGCATAACATTTTTCTAAGAAATCTAATTAAAAGCTCGACATTTTTATGGAGTTGATCGAATTTTTCCAATTTTTGTACAAAGTTTGAAATTTGAAGTTACTTGGTTTTTGTAAGATAACGAACTGTGCCTTTATAAAAAAATAATAAACATTAAAAAAAAAACCAAATTAGTAGATAATATACTCTTTAAAATACATTTATGGAAGTTATATGTACATATATATGTATTACATACTGAATAAATCAACTCTTTAGAGTTTCATAAATTGCAATTTATTTACATAACATTAACAAAGAACTCAAACATTTTTAACCGACTTCAAAAAAGGGGGAAGTTATCAATTCGTCGGAATTTTTTGTCTTTTTATATGTATGCTACCGCATAGCTTTGGATCACGTGAACCGATTTCAATAATTATTTTTTTCATNTTTTTGTCTTTTTTTATGTATGCTACCGCATAGCTTTGGATCACGTGAACCGATTTCAATAATTATTTTTTTCATCGGAAAGATGATACCTCAAACATCGTCCTATAATTTGGTTTATATCCGATCATCCAAGATTTCTGGTTTTCGATGGAGATGGTGATTTTTCACGATTGCCTAATTTTTTTAATATTTCGAAACCCGAAAAAATTAACTGAACTTGTATTTTAATTACGTATGTAACTCATTTTTGCGGAAGAAATTCGAAGTTGGCAAATTAAATCTTCGAATCCTTGTAGGAGCTCTCATGAAAAACGAAAAATGCATATATATATTGACGCACAATAAATGGAAAAGAAATTTGAACCACAAAACCCACCCCTTGTGTGCAGCAATGGTCTCTCCCTATTACCATATTCAATATAATTAGTTCCGTAGTAAGGATCTGTTTAGGCGCGTCTGCTAACACCAGGCGCCTAAATACATGCTATGTACTGCTGCATGTGCAAAAATTTCCTTTATGCAATTTAGAAAGTTTTTGCACATGCACTTCTCAACTGCCAAGTAATTGAACTTTCTTAAGTTTCAATAAGATGGCACTTCAAAGTATGCTCTGCCTAGTCGGATGCATCCTCCGGACACTGCTTCCGGAGCATTCTGCGGACTCTGCATGGCTTACAACCATGCGGAGGTGGTAATAGTTGATTACCATTGGCCACAGTGCCTACCCACTACTTTTTGGTCCAATAAATATTTTTTTTATATACATACATGCAAACATACTGGTCTCCCCTCTCACTGAGTTATTCAGGATCTCTTATTTTTCAGAGGTGGGCACCAGGGTTTTTGCGAATATTCGCATTCGCATTCGCAACCGCGGAGCTTCCGCATTAATTTTAACAATCGCATTCGCAAAAATCAATGCGGATCTTTTGCGAATGCGAATATTGAAGGGACCGAAAATTACAGTTATTTTTTTTACGAGTTAAACTTGGCCAAATATTTTTTATTCCGAAATAAATATACTTTCCAGATAATAAACAAACAGCTTATCCAAATTAAACAAGTTTGGTGTCAAATCAAAGAGGACTGAAATAGCTTTAAAACTGAAATGTCTAAACGAGGAAAGCCACACATTGAAAAATATTTCAATAAAAAATTTTAATTAATTACCATACATACCATATAAAAACATATAAATCGAGGTGGTAACCTTTTTGGTTATTTCTGTTTAAAAGCTATTTCACTCCTCTTTCATATGATACCAAATTTGTTTAATTTGGATAAGCGGTTTGTTTATTATCCGGATAGGACGTTTATTTCGGAAAAAAATATATTAGCCAAATTTAACTCGAAAAAATTAAATGTTATTTTCGGTACCTGGAATATTGTGCAAGCGCACAGACGTATATCTAACCAGTAACAGAAGAAAGCATTAAAAATGAGTTACAAAAACTAAAATCGAAAAACGCTGATGACGTGACAGGTTCTCCCAATTCCGAAACAACATAAAGAATGAGAATGAAGAATTCTTTGGAAAAAAACGTTGTTTAAACAACGATTGAGCCATGATGCTAGATTGTGAAGATGCAAGTCAGGAGGATACATCCGACATTTGCAGCCCCGCTGAAATTCTCAAAAAGTAATTATTACACCGCAATAAAAATAAATAAATATAACTGAAAGTCCTCTCCACGGGTGCAGTGTCAATCGAAAAGAATTTACAATTTTGCCAAGTTTCAAGTTTTTCAAGTTTGTCCCCTCGAGCGAGTAGTTATATTCGCATCCGCGGATGTCTAAAATTCCACATTCGCAACATCCCTAGTTGGCACAAACAAGCGTGAGCTAAAAGTGAGAGTCTTATTATGGCAACTTAACTTAACTTAACGTAACTTAGACTTTAGAAAATCAAAATGAAACAGACTTCGTCGTGGCTTAAGTACGTTAAGTTTCGGCTGTCCAAATATAAGCAACACTTAGAGAATGTTTAAGTGACAGTCTCTAAGTTACTTAAGTTGCCATAATGAGACCTTTATGGCTCAGGTACGCTTACTTGGCATTGCATGAGAGTTGTCACATAGGGAATCTGTTAAATGAGCTTTGCGTGTAAAGGTAAGCACATAGTGAGGTGGCGAGCAAAGCGTAAAAAGACCATCGAGCAAAACGAAGACAACAAAATTTGTTGAATTCGACGCTATGCTCTTGTGTTAGGTGTTCTGACCAGCGTTGACGAATTGACGATTTCGTCGTCATTTTGACGTTTTTTAGCCCAATGACGTTTTGACGATTTGTCCCCCCGAAATTGCGATTTTTTATTTTAGTACATATGTATGAACAAAAATTGTTAAAGGAAAACGTAATCCAAAATACAAACATGCATTTATCTACTCTTGTTCTACCACCGTGCTTTTAGTTATATGTAACCAAATCGTATATTTTCACTGCTGACACTCATTTGAAGGAGAAAGAAAAATAGAAGAGAGAATTGTCAAATTAAGATAATCTATCAAAAATAGAAGAGAGAATTTTTCAATTAAGATAATCTATCAGTTAACAAATTCTCCCGGTGCACTTTGAAACTAGATCAAAATCTTTTAAGAAACCTCAAACAAGTGGAATTAAACAATTTAAAAGCAGTTGTGTTTTAAGGTGTAATTTTAAATAGTAGTTATCAATTACAAACTAACTTTTTAACCGGCTTCAAAAAAAGAGGGAGGCACCAATTCATCGGGATATTATTTTGCCTTATCCTGAGTTTCGCCTGAAAAAAAAATTCACCTGAAAATTTTCCATCCGCCTATAGTAAATACATGGAAACGAAAAGTGACAAGTAATTTTTCAGCATAACACAAAACCGACTTCAATTATCATATAAAAATTTAGGAGTACCGTTAATTTTTTCATGATCGAATGTTCGGATCTAAACCAGATTAGTATGGGCCCACCTCTGAGACACTAGCTTTCCGATACAGAAAGAATTTCCGAAATCGGTTAACGTGGTCCAAGATTATGCGGTAACATACATAAAAAAAACACACAAAAAATATTCCGACGAATTGATAGCCTCCTCCTTTTTTTAAAGTCGATTAAAAAGTGAACTGGTTCGGGGAAAATTAAACTCATGATAAGGCTGATTATTTTTTTTTTTATGTATGTTATCGCATAACTTTGGACCATGTTAAGCGATTTCTATAATTCTTTTTTTAAAGAAAAGGTGGTACCTCAGAGGTGGTCCCATACTAATTCATTTTAGATGCGATCATTAGATAATGAAGAAATTACGGGAATCTTAAATTTTTATATGAGGATTTAAGTCGGTTTTGTTCTTGCCCAAAAATTACTTGTATTAACCCATATACAATGGGAACTCACATTGGTTTTATAATGCCTAGTCATACGTTAAGTTTTTTTACCCAAATGACGATTTTTTTGGGTAAATTGACGATTTTTCAGCGAAAGTTTTCGGCAACGCTGGTTCTGAAATTCCTTGTCGTTTAAAGAATAAAGTGAATGCCGCATTGTACTAAAGCCAGCTTCCCGACATAAGCTACTATTCCATACGCACACAGGTACATACAGTGGTCACTTTGTGCCAAGTTTTAACGTATTATTTTTGTTGTTATTTAATTTTGGTTATTTTTTTATAAAAATATAGTTCCTTCTTTAACAAACCCATGTAAATCCAAGTTTCAAACTTTGTGCAATATTGAAAAAATCCATCAAACTTTCGTACACATTTCGACCTTTTTTAAAAATTCTAAAAAATCACCCGTAATTTTTAGCCATTCGAAACTTGTACTTTTCTCTACTAGAACTCAATGGGCTACAAAACTGCATACTCAGAATCTAATTAAAAACTCGAAATTTTTACGAAAATTTGTTGATTTTTTTTAATTGCATAAATTTCTAAGGCAGTGTCACTCGATGGGTACATTTGTACAGATATTATCAAGGCGAATACATATAAGGTGGTATCGATTGAACAAATACAGCAATTACTTGTATTTTGTTTTTGCTTTCAGCGGGCCATTGTCAAAATTCAGCTATTCTTCCCCGAATGAAAAAGGGCGACAGAAAATGCAAACACTCTCACGTTCTCACTCACTCACTAACGAAATTCAAAATTTTGACAATCAAACGCTACTCACAGCTGATGATATAAATTCGCCTTGGATATTATATTGGGCTATTGGTACAAAATAAAAACAATGGGAAAATTTTTTTTTGTAGTCAAATGCTTGGTACAATACAGCAATCTTCTATTGAAAAAATTTCAACAAATTTGGTGCGGCTACAATTTTTTCGACTA